TTTCCATCTTAGATCATTCCCTCTCTTCCACCCGGTGACACAAAAAAAGGGGCTAGATAGGTCGACCAAACGTCGTGCAGTGCGCATGTAGAGGACAGTGGTCATCCAAGGAACGATTTTCCACTTCCATCTTCCGGGGTCAGAACTTGGGTCTGCACGACAAAGTGTTTGCACGTCTAATCTGGCCACTGGCCACTCTTCCTTGTTCTCTCTAGTGGAACCTGTGAGAGTTGCTTTGTTGGCAGATCGAATCCCAAAGTCATAGCCCTAAAGATTGATGTCTTTCACAGGTCAATCGCAGACCAAGCAAAACTGACTAGCTCAGTTTCCCTGGATGCATGTTTTCCACCCGTGGATTTTAGTGGGAAACCAATCCCCAAAGAGGTTACAGCTATTTACAGCTTATCCACTCACTGGGCAGGAAATTACTATCTTCATCTGGACTCTGAAACATGGCGCTAAACTTTTATACTTGCGGAACCACAGGAAACTCAGGAAATTCCTCGTAATCAGCAACAAAATTCAGACACCAGAAGTGGTCACCATCCCTATTCACACTGATTCCGGAATTGATGGATATGTGCCTGGATTCAGCTGAGTAGCCTGGATTGTCATCATCAAAAGCATTAATGAACCTGGGTCCCTCCCTGGGTTGGTTCAAGGTATACTATACTTGTTCATACTGCTTCCATCTCAAACGAAAGCTGTTCCATGCTCTTCCATCTCTGCAAAGTGACTCTCGGGGCAAGTCGGCAAAGTTCTTGGTGGCCCATTCATCACAAAAGGAGCTAGACCCAGCCAAAAGGAGCCTGCAAAAGACCCGCAGATCGATCCCTCCAAAAGATTGGTGTGAAAACCCAACCTTTCCATCTGGATTGGAAACGGGGGGACACCCCCAATAATATCCCTCAACAAAAAGCAAGAGGTGGTGACCTGCAGGCCTGCAGGTGATCCATGTACTTCCTGGCTAGGGTCTCCATGCTGTTCAAGTCGGCACTTTGGGGTGGGGGGGGTCGCCGGATCCAGGCGGCGAGCCGAGGTCTGTTCAGCTTGGATTTGGGTGTCCAACCGGAAGAATCCACCGGAGTCCCCTAAAGGGAGCGAGTTGACCGGTGAAGGGGAGATTCACCGGGAAGGGAAGGGGATTCCCTTGAACGATGTTTCCCCGGAAAATACATATATATATATATAATCCGTCCAAATTAGGAGATTTACCGTGAAAATACACATACAATCCGAGCCGCATCGATCCGCACAACTTGGTCATTTGCATACACCCACCCCACCCACCCTTACTGTCGCAGATCACACCTTCGGCTCCCTCTGTGCAGCCAGCGCCACCTTCGAGACGAGACGCGAAAGATGGGGTATGGGCCAAGGAGCAGTGTACCAATCTAAGGCCTGGATAGATATGTTGGGCTGAAATTGACGTAGATACCTACTTGTTACTACCTACGAGTACTGTGATCTCTGAAGTCAAACAGGCTCAAGGCTTCAAGTGCCAATCCCCCAGAAGCAGGCTTCCAAAGCCCGTCAAGGCCCTATGCCCCTGTTTCAGCGTTTGAATCTTGTGAAGTTCACCAGTTGCAAATCATGGAACGCAATGGAACCTGTACAGAGTTTGGAGATGCTTCAGTCTGCCTCAAGTGCAGCAAATTGGTGAGACTGGAGGTTGGACACCGGATGAATTCGTGTTTTGGCTGCCTGTCCCCATCTTTGCATTTAGAGACAACTCTCTGACAGCTACCCAATTGCTTCTACATGGTTCTACGGTCTACCGAAACAAAGGAAGGAGCTGGGACGGCGGATGCTTTCGGTCGATGTGGATGTGAAGTCTAGGTCGATGCTCTGCACCTCACAACCAGGACCAGGGCTATCGGCTCGGTTGCCACATCGGCTGTGGGTCATGTCATTCATGGTCGGAGTACTGGTCTGAGTCATATACTCATCCGTAAGCTGGAATCCTAGCTGTAAGAACTGACCTCCTACAACCACACCTAGTACTACCTAGTCAACGGCCAGGCACTGTTCACACACAGCTGCTGGGATCGACCGGTCAAAACACCGGGAGATAGAAAAAGGGCACGACCTGCGTGACCTGCGTGTCGTTCACTACCGGACGGTGGACCAGACTTCACCGGTATGCACCGTACGACCCATCACCGGTTTTCCTACACCACCTGTCCCATCATCCAAAAAGAAGATAGTCAGACCCTCACAAAACCCTTCACCCCAAAAGCACCAGATCTTTTCGTCTCAATTGGGCTCCTTCTCCGCCTCCTTGCCCACCTCCGGTCTAAAAAGACTACCCTATGATTCAGATCCAAACGCTCATGTCACCCATGTTGGCCGGTGTGTGTGGCCTTTTTCGGCCTTCCCGGGTGCCCCGGACCACGGCGTGCCGCAGCGCCGTGCGCGCGATGGGGCTGCTGGGCACCTCGGTCAGGGTGCGAAGGGCATATCTTATGAAATGTAGGATTTTAACATGTTGATATAATTAATTCATATATATATATATATAACCAACAGTATATAAATTGACCGTATTGTAACCTGCACAAACGGATTTATAACATACCAACCAGCAAGCTGTCAGAGAAGTTTATAAGTGGTTGTCATAACTTCCTGTACAACGGATTACAACTCTTATACTGTATAATGTGTTCTTTTAAGTGATTTAGCCTGCTTCTTCCCTCTCTGCGAAACTTGCTGCCCTGAAAAAAACCTCCTGTCCAGCTGTCGTGGCACCAAACAACCACTCCATACAACTCCTACGGCCACCACTCTGCTTCGAAAAGCCAGGTGGACCACGAACATGTTGGCAGCAGCATCTGGCGTCGGCCGTCAAACGAAACTCCATTCCGAGGTCTGCGCTTCCTTCATCCCTGTCATGGCCTGCACCAGCCAGGTAGCTGTTGAAGGGCATGGGGCAGGGAGAACTGAGGAACAGGACTGGAGGTTTTTCATCCAATTCAAATCCAACGTCAGCTGGAACAAATGCAAGACATGTAGGAAGCTTCGACAGCTCCCAACACTCTGTCTAGCTTCGGCTGATTGATTTCACATTCGTTCCATTCCCTCCTCGTCCGTCTCGTGAGAGTTGCGGTGGTTGTCTGCCCCTCCTAAAGGCCATCCACCCAGAAGCAAAGAACTTCACAGAGGCAAAACCTCCTGCATCCTCTGCAACCTCTTAAGCTAACATCAACCCTCATCCACCCCTCGGTCTTGCTTCGTCCGTTTCTCCTCTCCAACCGAGTCCAGTGCATCGAGAAGGGCACCGATCGAGGGTGGAGAACATCGATGGAAGCGACCTACACAAAGCCTAGAGTACCGATCTTGAGGGTTGATCCATAAGCCTCCGAATGCCTTGGCCCAAGATCTCCAATGCCTATATAGCTTTTCCGAACAGAAACACAAAAAAAGAAAAGCCCAGACTCTCCATGTGACTGGCACAGTTACACCTATTCACCTACGTCATGTTGGTGTGGTCAAAATGGAGTTAAATATTCCCAAACAGGGTCTAATTGATTTTAGCTGTTGATCGATAAGACCGATACACAAATATAACCCCACCCAGAGATATTCCCAAACATCTCCCATACTATAAGACCTTCGGTGAATAAGAAAACCACGTACCCAGGACCTGAGCCGTTCGTGACCTCTTTGGAGACTCTGAAAGGGTGACCTCAGCCACCAGCCTGGAGGGGTGACCGCCACTGGCATCTCAGGTCACGAACGGCTCAGGTCCTGGTAGGTCCTGACCTCCTTTGTTTCAGATCGATAGCGATGGCCTATCCATGGCCTCTCCGAGATCGATTGACCGGATCGACTGCTATCCGAGACAGTCCGCCTCCGGATCAACTCACAATTACTTATAATAGATATGAATACCCAAGCTCTCCAGGTAATAGAAGATTTGTCCTACATTGACCCCTGAAATCAACCACCCCAATGTATGTAAGTATGCCAGTCCCATTAGTCGTGCCTGGGATAGATACTTTCTTTCCTGCTGCAAACGTCTACCAAATCGCCGTTCTTGCAAATAGACCTCAAAGTGTTGGCAACAAACCCCAGTTTTTGCGGCGAAATGTTGATTTCCACGACGGCACGAGCGGCTCTTCCCGAAAAAAAAGGCAAGAGTTTGTGCTGAAAAGGATTTTCCCTAGGGATCCAAGTACCTCCTCAGAAGGTACTTGGACCCATGGTATGGACCCGGATGTTTTTTCATTTCCGTCGATTCGTTCCTTACTCCTTCCTCCTTCCTCGCTTTCATCCCCCGCCTGTCCCAGGAGCAGGGCAGTTGTCCGGAGGTCGCCCGTGTTGGGCATGCCAGCCACCAAGGCGATGGCCTTCGGCGAGGTGGGGCGGAGGGATCAACCCAGAGGCACGGGGGGGGTGCAGAAATCGACTGGAAAGCAGAACTAACTGCAGCATACTGCAGCCAAAGCACTGGTAAAGACCGGAACTGAGTTGTTTGCTTCGCAGCTGGAGCGCTTGCGCATCGGTTGCCACGAGGTCTTCTATGGACCCAATTAGCGCAATTAGAGGTCCCCCTAGGTGTGGCGTTTTTGAGATTGTTGGATGTTGGATGTCCACGGGCACCCATCTGCCAGACAAACATAAGCATGGCCACACATCTGGAAGACTTGCGGGAAATCTCTTCGAGCAATCCTTCCCAGAAATGACCTGAACTTAACCCTTTGGACTCATATTCCCATATATTACCCCAACTGGGAGTTCCAAATCCACCACTACCAGGCCAAATGAGTCATGAGGCTCTGCAGGAGACTATGTCCCGGCGCTGAGTCCAGCAGCCCTTTCGACGATTCACACTCAGCGACACGTCGATCTGAATTGGTCAAGGACAGTTTCCCCGAACTTGGAACCTGCTCGGAAAGACCCACATGGAACCGATGTACTCCTTTCAAGAACACCAAAAAACGAACAAAAGATCATAAAGGGACTGGAGCGGTCGCCAATACGTACAATATTCCTCTGAAGCACTGGTCTTTAGGTTCCATATAGGTCTTCTCGAGGGGCTCTCTGAAGTGAGTTTCCACCGGCTCCACAGATCATCCTCCAAAGAAGAGACTTCTTCAGTCGAGAGAGGCCAATTCTTGTCGCAAATCCTGAAGGAAACGTTCGTTCACTGCACCTTGAGAATACATGGAAGCTCCAGAACCATACTCCTCGAGCAGTTTATCCACCTCTTGGTACAAGCTCTTGGTCTTGTTTTTGGGCATGCGAAGCTTTTCCCGCAAGTGCAACTCCACCTCCACAAAGTTTTCTTTGATCAGCTGAATCGCATCATCCTCCTTCCTTAGGCAGGTGTGCTTGCTGTTCAGCAAAGGAGAGAATTGGCAATGGATCAAGTCCCAGAAGCGTTCCCCATGAAAGAAAAATCAAAAAACACATACAATAAAAATACAACAACACCTTTGGTCCAAAGGTGTCCCAAGGGGGTCCCACAATGCTTCATGCCGGGGTGACTTTTGACCAAAGAGGCAGCTGCCCCTGCCCCAGCACATCTCCCCTATAGGGCTCCAACCAGATTCGTTTGGAAGGTGGGACTGGGGGGGCCCGGGGGGTCAGTCTAAGCACCTTCTTTTCGGATGTGAGACAGTGAGCCAAACAAATCAAAGAGATTCCAAGAGTCTGATTATTATCGGTCTCCTTTGCCAGCAGCACATTAACGGCCCCACGGATCTGATCGAGCTTGTGATTCCTGGCAAAGATCTCCGCGAACTGCTTGAGGTCTCGGGTTTCCTGCCACGGACCAGAAAAATACCTTGGAATCAGACTTCTGGACCAATTGAAGACTCAAAAGGAATGCCTCCGACCAACCAAGGTCAAGTGTTTGAGGTCCACAAGAATCAATCTCCTCGACATCCTTAGACCTAGCTTCGAGATTGTTCTGAAGTTCTTGTAATGCCACTCTCGACCAACCAACCCACGCCTGGCGAGCTTTGGCAAGCTTGTAGCTCAGCATGAAGCCTTGCCCTGTGGGAATCAGAAAGCCCTTTAAGAAGCTAAGGCCTGCTGATAGCGCAGCAAAACCAAAGGGTCGATGTACCTTGTGCATATGAGTCCTTAGATGGGAAGCGAGCTCGACTGCATGTCACTGACTTCTTCATGCGTCGATCTCATGACTGGACGCTGGGGCACGTCTCACGAACTACCACTCATTGTCATTTGTGGACTTGGATGTGTTTTACAATAGGGCGACCCCAATCAATGGGTTTTTGGTCAATTTCCCTTCTTCCAAGGGGGTCAAACTGGGAGGTCTCTCTATTTTAACACACATCCATTTGAAAACGTTCCATCTCGACGATGGGACTTTTATTTGTGTGCCTAGCAATCCGAAATGTCCACTGACCAAGCACAGGATGGACCAAAACAATCCAAGCCGACTCCTTGCCCTGGAAAAGACGATGTGACGATGGATCAAAACGACCCGAAACGGTTCACACAGTAAACAGGCCTTGAGTACTATAATCTACCAAATTCAATATTCCAAAATATTCACCTGTACTTATCTGAAAAGAAGCTGGAGACTGAACTTGTTTGGCTTCTTTCAGCTTCACAGGTGGCGAAACCTGGGACCGATTTCAGGTCCAGCTTTGGAGAACCAGAACCACTGCCAACTGCGAAGAAGAAGAACTTGGTAGCTTCAATATATATATATATATATATATGTTGTCTTCATCAAAACAAGCAGAATGTGACCCCAACATCCGCTTTCAACCCAAAATTTAAGCATCACCAAGTCTCATCACGAAGGACAAGCCAATGAAGCCTTGTGGCATATCCTGAGGTTTTGCCGGGTTCGACATGGCTAACAACATCTGTTGCATGGCCACCAAATCAAGGCCATGAGGGACTATTATGGCCAATATCAAATGGCCGGTCTGAGTCCCTCTAATGAGGGACTGTCCCTAACTAAGTCCCTCAACTAAGAATTTGTTGTCCCTAACTTGTTTTATGAGGGACTTCTTCAGAAAACCAAGGCCGGTCGCCGCAGCCGGCCTCAAGGGCCTCAAGTTTGAAGGGCCAAAGCTTGTGAACATTGGACTTCTTCTCAGCTCTTCCAGTAATTAGGGAGAATGCACCAATTCAGTTGTTTGGTCACCTTCAGCAAACTTGCAATGAAGAATTAACAAGAAAGGCCCCAAAAAACAGATCCAAACACCCAGCAAATGCCATGGGAGGCGGCAGATCTTTCCAACCCGCGGATTCGCAGGGGACCCCCTCAGGTGGACCTCCCTCTCCGTTTGAGCCTCGTGTCTTCGGCCCAAGCAATCAAACGCCTCGAGCTGCTGACAAAGTCCACGGCCATGTCAGTCACATGGTCCTCCAAACGTCCCCAGCAGGACTCGCTCCGCGCCCACGGTGCGTGAGGCGGTAGTGACCTCGGGGTCCAGCACTTCCAAGCTGCGAACCGCCAAAAGAAAAAGCTTCTTTTTGGGTTGTTTCACTCAAGAGAGTGAAGAGCCATCAACCCACACTTCTAAAGCACGCCGCCTGCTTTTCGAACAACTCTAACTCTAACACGAAACCCAAGGGCCAGGAGTTCCAAACGGGTGGTCTTTAGACCCCAAGTGAGTAGAGAATGGGCGTCCCTACCCGGCACTACCCCTTTGGAACTCCTTGGGGGAGGTGCTCACGTCCGAAACCAAAGACACGCTTCAACTGCCAAAACCTGGTGAACGGAATTCTTTGTATCCCATTTGGGCTCCTGGCCTACCTCCGACTCAAAGGTGGGACTGGAGGTGGGTGACTTGGGGGTTCGGTCCTTCCAGATGTATTTGGGGCCCTAGGGTATTCTGGTTCAAGCCTACTTAGGTTCTTTGCAGTTCCTGGTTGGCCAACCTTTGATTAAGAACAAGTCATGGTCATGTGGCCCGGATGCTTCTCACCTTCAGCTTCACGAGACAAGCTTGACTGTTTGCGGTCATCAGCTTCTCACATGAAGTCCGATTGTGCATGCAATGAGAATGAACTAGATTGCGCTGAACAAATCTGCAAACACGACATGACATCCAGAGTAAATGAGCTAACATTTGATTCGTGATCCGTCAAGTCCGAACGAATCCCAACACATCCCAAAACCATTGCCTGAACTTCAATGAATGCTTCGCAGTGAAATCCTTTTCAAAAAACAAGGTCTACACTCCCTGGAATCATTGGAAGTGGAAAACAACCAGTTTATCCGTTAGACCCAAGGAACCAGTTTTCCACTTCCACTTCTATGGATGTAATCCCGGATCCCCCCAAAGGAACGGAAAGCCCTTCAGTTCCTAATGAATCAGAATATACATCCCTTAAACCATCTTAAACCCGATCGCTGGAATGTTTTTTGTTTTTTTTGGAGATTGTTTAAGTATCACGTAGGTTTTTGGTCATACTCTGGATTTCAACAAATGGTTTGATGTGATTTCCCTTCATTTTTTGTTGTTTTTCCATCGATCTGTTGTTTTTTGTGAGTTTCTCTCGCGGTGCCCCTTCTCCCACTCCCCGAAAGAATGCTGCAGACTTCTCCGAGCGGCAAGATGCTCCGATAGGCCGAGCGCAGGTCGGCGGCAGTTTCGGGATCGGAGGTCACTAGGTGATAAGATATCACGATCACATAGGCGGAGCAAACGAAGAGACACCCGCTATCGCAAAGCCTGAGATGAGATGTGATGTGGCAAGCTAGCCAGGAAATGTCAAGATTGAGGCTCAGAAAGAGCTGAACAATGCGGACAGTGGTTACCTGAATCGTTGCCAACAAGGCTGATCTTTCACTTGTGGAATGCCCTCAAAGCAAATTCACCAGCTTTGCCGGCCCCTGGCAGTTCTATCAGATTCCTGACACAAAGTGAAAAACAAAAATACGTGGGTTTCCTACCAGCACCCTCACTGCCAGGTCTCCTCATCCGGGGGTTGGGAAGGGCCCAAACAATTGGGGACCTCGCAAAGCCAGTGGCAGCTTTTGGAGTTGTTGCAATTGCTGTCCAAGGGCGGCCCAACCCTTTCCCGCGCCGAGAAAACAATCTGCCGAGAAAGGCTTGGATTCCAGGTCACAGGTCTTGGAGCTGCAAAGGACACACCAGGGAATTGAAGAACTCAAAAAACCAGATGGAGCCTTGGCTCGGCTCTGCCTTCGCCGGACCCAACCTGGGGCCTTTTGCGGGAGAAGGCTTTTAAGCAAATGTAATGTTTGAATAGTTCTCTTCAAATAAAGATGTCAATGTAGTACGTCGTATAGGTAAAATACAGTACATATAAGTAACAGAAAGTATTTACCATTTATGTGTTTGTCTTATCAGAAACTACATCAATGGCCGTTTCGAACAGCACCGCTTCTATCCCAAAAAATGGTTCCTCGGCAATCCTTCCAAAATAAGCATAAACTTGCATAAACATACAAAATAATATCAAAACCCTATAGCGATTGCTATCCGGGGAAAGACTGAATAGTTGAAACGAGCGGTAGAAATGGGCCCTGAGTCTCCAAGTCGAAGAGGAGATACTGGGACCTTGAGAGTGAGTCCTTGAGATACCAGGATGAAGTGACTTAGGCCTGTAAAAGGTGACTTAGAGACTCCCAAAAGGTCACTCTGAAGCTTTTGGTATTAGGAGCTTGATAGGGGGTTGTTCTTTTGGAAACCTGCGGATCTTTTAGATTCAGACTGTGCCATGAACCTCAACTTTGCCATGTTGGCTCTCCAAGTTTAGATGTTGCTGGCTTCAATATTTGTTTGAAGTGAAGGATGTTTCCAAGGAACCATCAAAACAGCTATAACAATAATTCCGATATACAAACAGGTGATGAGCATTGAGTCTTTATCACATAGCCGCAGCTTTCCAAATCCACAACAGCAATGAACCAAAGAATGTTCACAAACATATGTTCACCTACCACGGGTTTATATGCAGGCATCATGGGTTTTGACATGTTTTGACTCATACTTATATCCATAAGGTCTTGATGTCCAGGGGTACTCTGCTCATCTTTCTTTGGCAGGGGTCAGAAATTATTGACCCTCCAACATCCATTCCGGGCCGGAATCAAGTAATCAAGTCAGGTGTTCTTTAGCATTACAAACAAAAACTTGCAAAGGTCACGCTCCACAGGGCAGAAGTAGGGAAAGGTCAGCTGCAAGTAGGGCCAAGGACATCCGGTCGAGAAGTAGCATTGACAATCCTGTCCACATCGCCAAAAGAGGAACAAGACCACTTGACCGCAGCAAAGCGCAAAGAGGCCTCCAGGACCATTGTCGAAGATCTGTTCTGAGAGCCAATTGTTCAGCAACCCGAAGGCTGGAACCATCAGTGGTGGATGAATCGTCAACTTGTCAGTGATCCGGAAGGGGAAAATGGCCATGACCCAGTCGTGGAACAGGATCCGATTCAGCAAGTCTGCTGAGGTGATCACAAGCCTGGCCAAATGGTAAACACCGTGGAGTGCGTGCAAACCTTGGGAATATGAAAAACACATGGGTGCGTAGCTCAAATAGGGAGACCTCCCAAAGAAACCCTGGTTGGGAAAAGCAAACAAAACCCCCTTTCTGGGTTGAGTGTCTCCCTATTTAAGTACACACCCACATGTGCAAATTTACAAGCACGGTCCCAAGACAAAGCGAGTTCTGGCAACTTACAAGCTAACTTCTCTGCTTGTTGAGAGGGAAATCGGAAAAACTCAAAAGGAAGGAAAGGTTCAACAAAGCAGCTCAGCCACCCCAAGTAAAACCCCTTCATCATAGGGGCAGCCTGTAAGCAAATGCCAGTCATGATCCAATCCTAAGTTCTCTGCAAAAAAAAACAAAACGTCGACCCATCAGGTGAAGCGAGGTGGAATGTTGTTTTGTACCGCATGTTCTCCTGTTGTTTTTTGTTAATCTCTCTTGCTCTCTCCACCTGCTCTCCTGGATGAGTTCTTCTCCAGCTCTCCTGGATTAGTTCTTCTTGGGTCTCGTTCCACCTGCATTCTCCGCTTCGGCCCCTTTTCGACCGAACATGGCCTCGGGTATGGACATGAGAACGCAACCCCCAGCACAAGCCCGAAGGACGCTTTTGAGGTCTTGACGGAGGGGAAAACGGATGGGAAAACAAACAAAGAATGCTTTCATGTCTGCACCAAGGATCTTTCATTGAATCACAAAGTTCACTAAACATGGGTGCCGTGTAGAGCATCACCTCAAAGGCCACTTAAAGACTCTTTTACGCCGACTCCGACGTGTTTGTTCTGAGAATACCAACAGCTACAGCCGAGGACTTGACAGATTCTTTATCATGCTGATCATGCTGTCTCTCTGAAACAAACAACACACCCTTCAATAAACGTATGTCATACATGTTCATATATATATAACATAGAACATATGTCGCAACATATAACATATAACTTACAACTCTCAACAAACTCTGGAGTAGTGAATATCTTATTAGGCTCCCTTTGGTTCCCTGGATTCTGCTAGCGTTTTAATGTGTGTTTTCGTTTCCGCCCAATTGGAGGTGTTTGTTTTCGGTGTTGGTTCGTGATGGTTGGTGTATGTTCGTGTCCAGTTTTAGCATCAAAAAGAGAGACATCAGGCCCAGTCCACTGCGCAAGGATCGACCTACATCGAGTTCTTGGTGGAGTCTCCATCACCATCCGCTCCGCTCCACCGGTCCGCCTCCCGGGCAGACCTCCCGATCCGACGTCTCGGCGCCTTGGAGAAGGTGGGTTGCTTCAGTGCTTCAGCATCACAGCGGCAACATCGCAACAAGTTCTGCACGAAGAGGCTCCACAGGCAACTCCTCAGGCTAAGCTGCGGACAAAGCTTCGGGCCAAGGAGGGCAGTGAGGCTTCCGGTGGAGACCCGGTGGGGTGTGTGCCCATGTGTGTGGAAGTGAAAGATGTTCTTTTTGGCTTTTGAAAAGCAACTTTCTCAAACTTGTCTGGCCTTCTCAGAAAACCACCGACAGGCGGTAAGCGCAAAGTGCTCCACCTTCGCTTTCCGGGTCAGGGATGGAAAAAGAACCGTTGAAACCCAATAAGCGTCTTGACTCATTCGTCGGACTGATTTTGACTCCATTGATCTGTCGACCAACCGTCATGACCATCTGACGCGCCAGTTCCTAATCCGACTCTGCGGGCTCTCCAACGAATTGAACCTATAGCCGCCCAGTACACTCCATGGGACTGGAATTGTTGTGCCTACTGTACATTGGACCCCCCTGGCACCACTCCAATTGATCGGCATGTATATATTCTATATATTCTATACATGGAGCGTCTGGGTAGGAGGCTAGAACCGGTGACCTGGCACGGTCGACCGACCGGTGCACGGTGGGGCACGGGACCTGAAGCTGTAGCTGGTGCTGGAGCTGGGCCTAGGGGGCTTTAGTTTATTGGGAACGACCCATTCCCATCTCAGTTGCTGTGACTCAGCAGAAGCCTTTCCAAAACACGGAGCTTTCGGCCACAGAACGCGACTTCGCCCGACTTCGACCGCAGCGAACAACAACGCCCCAAGGCTCTGTTGCCAAAGGGCCCAAAGTTCCCAAGCAAAAGATCCACCGCCCTCCATCAAGAGCCATCCACTGCGCAAAGCAATGGCCACCAAGGAGACACAAAAGAAGTGGTAAATAATCAACGCCTTACACTGTTGGAAGAAATCCGAGAATATGAAGGATGTTTGTTCATGATTGTTCATGAAAACTTTCAGTTGAGTTGTCCTGTAAACTGATCTGCTGGGAGAGGATGACCGGTAGGGTGGTCTGAGGGGATCAAATATTTTGTTACAGTTACATATTCACCAAATAATCAGTCAATAGACGTCAAAAACATCCGTGTCAGCCCAGCCCTTGGGCCCAGCCCAGCTCTTGGGCCCAGCCCAGCCCTTGGGCCCTTCTGCCACTCTCAATGGGGGCCGATGATGACTTCAAGAGTGCCGCTGAGACGCCAGGGAAAAGCAGTGTGGCATCCAGGGGCATCGACTGTGTCTAGACCTGCTCTTTTCTTCAGAGTCGTCGGACCCAGTGTGGAGGTCGTCGGACAACCTCAGTTGCCTTGAATTGGATTTCTCCCACTTCTCCACGTCCTCCTCGCTGGCACCAGGATCACCTCGGAGGGCACATGTTCTTCAAAGTGAACAAGCTTCTAGGAGTGGTAACAGGCTTCTAGGAGTGGTAATATGTTCTTCGAACTTGGGGTCCATGTTTTTGGGAAAAGATGTTTCAGCAGCTTCTCAGACTTGGAAAAACATCGGTTCTCCGATGGGGGACAGGTCCGATTTTAATCGCTCACACGAGAGATGGAAAGTGATTCCGAGTCGCATGGATGCAAAGCCATGTATTTTCCCCGGTCTGGAGGCCTGTTGGCCTTGACTTTCTGAGCCACCAGGCGAAAGAACTCACAGACGAGGCCCATGAGAGGTGGAGCACAAAGTAGGAACGGCAGCCAATAATGAAGCCGACGTCTCCCTTCTTCATCCTGTAAACCAGACAAACTGGGCAGCAATCGAGGTGCTCTTACCAAGAATGGTGGCCTCTCAGAGATATGGCATGTCTTGAGCCAAACAAGGCAGTAAAGCCAGTGCAACCAGCCCAGGAGGTTAGGAACTGCTGGAAAGCGATCTGCTGGTAGCACTTCTGGTAAGCTGGAACTGAAATCCAAAGAGCTTGGTAGCCAATCATTAACTTCGACCGTCCCATTCGGCCAGTCGAAAGGCATAGCCCAGCAGCAGGCTATCTTTGAGCCCGCAGCTGCATGGTGCGAAGACATCGGCGCAGTTCAGCTGAAACGCATGCTGGTGGATTTACAACCCCGTATACTTTACTTTAGGAGAGCACCAAGGATCCCCGCCATCGATTACATTGATCATTACTCGTTCTTCTTGCATTAGGCAGTTGAGATCCCTACCACTGTCAGTAGTCCTCCCCACAGCAACAAAAAGGATCAAGTATACATAAGTGTAATTTTCCAGGGTCTTCATCCCTTCTGCAAACCAAATCAGAGGTTTCTTCCTTCTATTTTGAGTCTTGAGCTCCATGAGAGTCAGCCACCTAACGCCCTCAAGGCCACGCACACCACCTGTGAGCGAACCTTTGCCCTTGGCTGCCCTCTGGTCACTTTAATATCATGGTGTAGTGACTATAGTGATCTCAAACAATGACCTATCACGCGGTGTCCGATGCAAGACCTCAGGTTGGTGGTTTAGACCCTCGCCCTTCATCACGGGCCAAGTCCGAAGCGGCTTCCCATGGGAGACCAAACCAGGTCGGACAGCCCGGCACCGGTGCAGAGTGCCAAGGTGGCCAACTGCGACCTCTGCGGTGAAGCGCGGGGCCGACTGCGGCAGATCGGATTCGGAGTGAACGACCCAGTGGGAAGATCAAAAGATGTGAAGGCCAGTGGTGACAAGTGAAAGACAGCAGCAACAACAACAACTACTACTACTACACCGGGTAGAAAATAGATGGCGCAACTCAAACCGAGACGGGACACACCGTGATGGCGCAACTTGCATGTGCATTTGCGCCAACTTAAGCAACCAAAATCTGGCAAACTGGAAAACGCTAATCACTTAAAATACCAAGGGAGGTTTGCAGAGAGATAATGAAATTCTAGCACGTAGATGGCGCATTGGTTGTCTTTCAACCAAAAGTAATTTCCGGAGTATTGCAATACCTACAGTAACTTGAGCATCATCTGGATAAGAAATTGCAGATGTGCAAGGTAGAATTGATCCTGCAATGACCTATGCAAACATGAATGCAAACACTAACAATCTGTCTGCAAGAGGCTCCTGCAAGAATGCTTTGCGCCATGTATGGCTCACGTCCACTGGCAAAACATAGGCAAACAACCGCACTGTTCTCGCAGTCGATTCTGACAGTTTTAAGGGCGTTTGTCGTGTTCATTGATGGCGCAAATGACTGTCGTTAATGGAATCCTATAGATGAATAATTTATCTTTTTTACGCCAGCAATTTTTAATTCGGAGTACTACTACTACTACTACTACTACTACTACTACTACTACTACTACTGACTACAACAACATGGTGCAAAAAGTGGGATTTCTTCGTGCGTGATGAATGGGTAAAGCATGGTAAAGCTGCTGTTTGAAGGCAAAACATGTTGGAGCGTTTCCGATCGTGCTCTTAAACAAACACGTATGGTCCTGATAGTCTGTCACAAGGGAAAGGGAACGGCCGGATACCAACATAAACATAAACCGTTGAAATCGAACATGTGGCGGCTGCTTTGGGTCCGTTGCTGGGTGGGGGCATTGCAGGCATCGTCAAGTTTCTAAACTTGAATTCAAAAGAACTAGCAAATGACTTCAAGTAGCAATAGGACACGTGCAAAGACTTTGTGTTTTGGGGTAAGTTAATACAGTATATTCTTTAACATCTCCCTGGAGATCTCGATTAGTCTCTGAGAAGCTAATTGGAAGTCAATAGTGTTGTGGAAAGGTACTGGAGCCCAATAGCATTCTGGGAAGAAGTTGGAAAATAGAGGTTTTTTCAGGGTTCAAAAAAACACAAGATTGTACATCAATTGGCCTGGTTTTGTTGGAAAAACCTTTGTAAACCTGCGGTTTATCCACCCTCAGCCCATCCCCGGCTCTGCTGCACGGCATTTCTTCCACGAAGATCCAATGCCTGGAGCCTCAGCCCGCCTTCCAGCGGTCCGCTTCCAACTTGTTTGTCAGCCTTAGAAGAATCAGACCCACATGGTTGACTTATCATGTGCCACAGCACATTCTTGTTGACATTCTGATGTTGTCAGCCCTTGTTTATCCAAGGGACCCAGTAAACCATCTTTTCAGGGCCATTTCTTCCAAGCTGGTCTGTTGAGAAGCTGCACAGCAAGTCTTAACTTGCCCAATGAAGTCCTCCGACGCAAATGAATGATATTTGCGGTAGTTCAGTCCTGAGATTCAGGCACACTTGCCAAGCAACAGGGAGGGTACCCTAAAACATACTGGACTTTGGGGGTGCAATCCCAACTACTCCAAAATCATGCTAACCATATGCATGTATCGTTCCTTCAACTGCCAATAAGCTATCTCTTGGAATGCCTCAGCTCAGGAGAAAGAACAATTCGATGACCCGTGATGACCCCTTCACTTCACACTAGTGAGACTAGTGCAGAAAGAAATCTTGTTGAATGGGGATCAAGGCACATGGAATTTTGGCCGGGAAGGCCACATGAGAAACCCCCTTCGAAGTGCATCAGTCGCCAGCTTGATATAGTTTGCAATACAGTTGTCCTTAAGATGGCAAAACATGCCAGCAGGTGACAAACATTGTATCAAACCCATGAATGCCCATGAACATTGTTAATATCTAGAGAAAGGGGGACAGCATCACAACTCCTAAGCCCCTATCAAGGGTCCACCTGGTTCTTCATCTTCAGAGCCACATCCACTGTGAGGTAGCGGCCCTCAGCCTCCGATGTGTCATGGAAATCTGCTGCACCGCGCCTTGGAAGCAGGGGGCTGTGATATGGTGCCGGATTTTTCTGGATTAGATAAATGATGTGGGAAGAAGGCCAATGAAATGGCAATGCCTTGCATGAAGGGCAAAAGCACAGGAAAGGAATGGAGAACATGCAACTCCAGAGCCTTTCTTTGGAAACATTTGGAGTGATCACAGGGCGGCAACCTTCCGCATGTATACCTATATCAGAGTCCGGCAGTGACACTGCCAAACGAGCACAGGGCAACAATGCACTGCTCACTACATACAAGATCGTCCACATGGATCAGATGACGCTGACAAATGTCCACATCATGTGCTTCCAAGACACACACAATCCTGGATCCATTTCAAGCGAGATTGCAGGACAAGATCTTCCGAGTCAGCAGTCAAACCAGACACGAAGGCTGCCAGCCATCCAATGACAACTCTTGCCTTGGCTTTCCATGCATTCGGAAGCTAGGCATCGGAGTGAGGGATTTTATATCCCAGCAAATGTTCCCAGCAGGAGGGGTACAATATGGTGCAATACATTAAAATCTCAGTACAGCTTGACTATTTCAAGCAATGTGGCGTTCCATGCTTTTGACTGCAATTCCGGATATGGGTGTTGACTCGACTTGAGGTTCTTCAAGCTGAATCTCACAGTGCTATGCCTGAGGTTTCCAAGACTGCAAAAACCACAACTGAAGAGTTAAGGCTGTTGAAGTATAGCAAGGTTCAGCCAAAAAACATTTAACCTTTGATATAATTGGCCACCAAAGCTCGCAATTTTGCGTTGACGGGTCCATGATTTGAACTCTCGCCAGGCCCGGTAAAGTCGCTCATCATGACTTCCATCACCCCAGGCTCCATAGAATTCCAAGAGTGCTTTGAGGGTGTTACCAGCTATGGAGAGGTCCGTTCCAAGGTGAATGACGTGCATGCCACACCACCGTATCATCCCAACATGAAAATGAGGTGCACGAAGTAAAGGGCCTTGATGCAGTTTCAAAGGACTGGATAGATCGATACTTTTGATTGCATATTTGAGGAGTTGGAGAAGAGTTCTCAAAGGAAAACATTTTGATCCAGTAGGCCTAGGTTCAAAGAGGTCCAGGCTTCACACATTCTGCAAAGAATGTTTGGTCAGTATGTCGATTTCCTTGCATGGTTGGCTGCATGAACGTGTCTTTGTGAGCTGAGCAATGGTGACAAATCAGGTTGCAGCCATAATATGTTTTGAGATGCAACCATTCCTGGCAGGGAACCATGGTACAGATTATCAATTCAGTTTATATAAACCATTTGCCAAAAGCATCACAGCGGTTTCAAACCTCTCACCTGTTGAAACTTCCAATCTCCACGAATCTCTGTTAAAATGCATTTCACTTGCTCCCCACCATAGGCCAGACCATCATCATGAAGTGTTTGCAGAGAAGCAACAACCTCAGCACTTATGGCATTTATAATAACAGTATGTGTTGACAACCACACACACATGATAAATCATCATTGTCCTCATCATTGCCTCCTCCTCCTCATCATCATCATGACAATCCTAATCACCATTATCATATCATTGCATATATATATATATATTCATCATCACGCACCATCACAATCCCAGCTACCATCATTGAATCATCAACCACCACCAACAACAACAACAACACAGAATCAGAAGTAGTAGCACTAGCAGCAACCTTCAAAACAACAAGCCAAACACAAAACAAAAGACGGACAGTGAGCCCCACTGTTGAGCCAAGGAGAAGTGGTCAAAGATGTCAGGCCACAGTTGTTCAAGGAGCCGAGCGACTGCTTCAAGGTAGGCTGTCAGCGTGCGAAACCCAACACTTTTCTCCTTAGCTGCTAAGCTTGGTTGTTTATACCCAAAGCCTAGGGTTTTGGGGTATAGCCGGTATAGCAGATCTAGACAGGATTTGGTTAGTTCAGGATTGTTTCACACAAAAAAGGCTCTTTTCTTGCAAGAGTCCTCTCGGCATATGACTAGTGGGAAATGGGTTTCAATGGAGTTCTTGCGGTCATCAAGGGTGCAACCAATGCAGATCACAATCACTGATTCATCTTTGCAATAGTGGGCTGCATCACCCCAAATAAACAGTGGCAAATAGTCGTTGGAAGAGATGCCCATGGCCATTGGTGAAGACAACTCCCGAAGGTGGTTCCAATATCGCCTCCTTTGTCTCAACGGAATGTTTGGAAATAATCCACTGTCAATCAGAAACGGCAGGAGCTCACTGGGCAAGGTGCAAGGCATTTTCCTCACAGAAACAGTTTGGTGAGCCTACATTGTTTTGCTGATCAAAAAACATAACATCAAGATGAAAATGTACTTAGACCAATCAAAGGTACTTCTCAATTTCA